CTAATGTTTTTCTTCTCTTCTTCAATCTTTAATTTTCACTCCTTCCCTGATTTCCTGTATTATCTGTCCTTTCCTCACTTTCTTCTTCCTTTGCAGCATCCCTCCCTCATTTCTTGGCCTCCCACTTTTTCTTTCAAACCCCATTTATTCTTTCCTACACCACATTTTGTCATTCCTCGACATCCGTTCCATTCTCTCTAGTTCGCTCCCTCCTTTCCTCCCTCTTCATTTTACTCATTCTCTCACATTCTCATTTCTCTTCCTCCTACTCAAGTCTCATCATCTCTCTCTTGCTGCTGTCCCCTTTTCTTAACAAACTCTTTCTCTAACTTGCTCTCTCTTACTGCTAGAACTAACTCAGTTATACAGTAAGTACCCTGTGGTTTGATTCTCCAGTCCCTTCTTCACAAGCCGTACCAACCCTTCTTTCTGTACTTTTTAGCTGCATTCATGTCTTTTTCCCCTCGGCTGGGAATTCTGGAGTAATTCAGTGAACACTCCACCCACACACATTTACACACAATCTTACCTTACTGTTGTACAGCACCCAAATCTGCGCTGAGTCTATTCTTATTCTGCCTTTCCCTTTGCTGTATCACCGTGTTTCTCTCTTGCTCTCCCAGGTATGCCACAGCTAAACCACATATCTACGCTGCACCAATCTCTCCCAACATCTCAAAAGTTTCACATTCCCTGTTTGCTTGCTCTCTTATTTTGCTCTATGCTCCTGTCTTCTCATAAACTCCACACCTGGTGCTGCCTGACTTTCTTTTATCTCTCCTTTGGGCCTGCAGTGCAGCAGGAGACTGATACCTATCCTCTGCCTCTGCCTTTGCATGTTTATTTTTTATCTGCTCCTCCTGAAAAAAATAACAGCTCCTACCTTACCTCCGTCTTTGGTTTTTATCAGCTGCTAGAGCATCTTTTATCATATCTCCCTTAGTTTTTGCAATACATTTGTTACCCGTCTTCTGCTCCGCATCTCTCCAAATATTCTGCCTCCGCATGATAACTTCTTTTCAATGTATTGACTCTGCTGAAAATTAAATTGAAAATCAAAATCCTCTAGGGGTGAGATATACCCACACATGACTTGCTCACACATACACAAAGAAACATAAATATTCACAGCCACAGAGGCACAGTGTTGCAGATGGTTCAGGCAAGTCAGTGACCAGGGGCCAAATATTTGGACAATGCTGCCATCTGCTGGACAAGCTGTTAATAGGCCTTTTTCATAGAAGACATTTTGACATGTCAGTAAAAATGCTCAGGTGAAAAAGTGATTGCTGAATTTTGTTAAATTAATCTATTTCAGTTTTTTTATTGTGAATGCTGGCTTACCGTCAGTGTCAAGTCTTACTGGCTGTACTGGTTGCTATTAGAAATGAGAATACTAAAAAAGCCAAACTAAAAATATATAGACCACTACACTAACTTAATGATTACCAAACTTTGTACTAGACTTCACAAGTGTTGGTTAGCATGGCCCTCAGTCGAACAGCAACACATTCACACATAGAAAAACACAGATACATTCCTCCTCCACTATATTCCACTAACATTTTAGCAGCTGCTAAATCCATAATGTCAACACATAAAATTCATATTCAGTGTAGTTAAACCTCTTGGCCAGTGCTCTTCTTATGTCTGTGTGTGTTCTTGTACTTTCTGCATAATGAGGACAAAAATGTTTTTATTTTAAATTTTTTATTTTTGCTACAGAGTGAGAATATTTTTTGAACTTGGGGACATTGTGGCCCATCCTTACTTTCTGTTAAGGTTAGTCCCCCTCACCAGGAGGATGAGGGATAACTGAGGTAGGACTCAAGATTGCCGACCCAGGTGCTAGTTAAAAAAAAAGGAGGTTTAATGGTGGAGGAGACCAGGACGACCAGGGGAGTAGACACGCTGTGTTCATGACTCAGTACAGGGCTGGGGTGTCTTTTCATGTGCATCAGCATAACACACGAACATTTACAATGTTGTGTGTCAACACATTTGACA